GAAGTTGAGGCACATTATTAGGTGGATGGCATCTGATATGGAAAAAAAAATTAACAGTAAAAACTTGTGAATGCTACTTACTGATGGTCTTGGGGACAATACGTAGGATACTGACTCCTATACTATATTGTTTTCAGTCCTGACAAAGATTGAGAAATGAGTCTTTGGCAATGTAAGTCCCATTTGTTCCCTTTGTATAGAGGTAAAGGTAAAGTATAAGGCCCTTGCTTGCGTCCCAGCCACATCCAAGGCTAGGATTAAAACATGAATGGACAAGCTGCATCATCTGGCAGGGCAGGCCCGTGACCAGAGCCTTGGTTTGAAGGTCTGAGTTGTGCCCTGAAAAGAAACTCCTTCTGAGCTATGAGTGTGTAGGCAGGGCAGAGTAGACCCAGTTCCAAGGCCTCAAGGTCAAGATAGCTTAGTGCAGGGTCTGCTGTTGCATTAGATCCTTGCCCTAGCTCAAGCACATGTGTCTGTATCCTAGACACAGAAAGTAAAACCAGAATGTGCCATTTCACCAAAAATTCTGTAAGCTCCCTGGCACATGCAGCAATGTTTGGCATCTAAGAGAATGTATCACAACATAGGGAGTGAGGCACTCATTCCCCCTGAGGTACTAACTCTCAGCATCCATTTTTGGCATCCTGGTGGGACCAGGGCATCGGTGGGGTGCCTGAGGCCAGCCGGAGAATGAAATGCTCCCTGAGAAAGGGCAGTAGTGGTTAAAGAGAGACCGTGGAAAGCAGAGAAAATTGCAGAGTCAGCTCAGGACATCTCTTAACACGGGTGGGACTCCCAGAAATTCCTGGGGAGGGTGGATACTTTGCAATGAAAAGGAAAAGGTGTGGCAGGTGCTAGTTAGATAGAGGTCACTGTCATCAAAATAAACTCTCATTTTTGACAAAGGCTGGTGAAGCCGGCAATTTTCAGAGGAGATGGCAGTGACTTCTCACCAAAATGCAGAGCTTGATTTTTTTCCCCCAAGGTGATGGAGCAGAGCCATCCATCATGGTCCTCCTCAATACTCCTGCCCTACAAAGCAATGCATCCTGGCGCACAGGGGAAGGCTGCCAGTACACATTACTTGTGGAACACTCTGTAGGCACGAAAGTGCATCTTTTTTGTGTGTATAACGAAGAATCCCGGTATTCTTACCCTTAGTATCATTAATCAGCTGGTCAGAACAGCCAGACAAAGGACACATAGCGTTACATGTCACCTTCAGTGCTCTTGAGGCTGCACTGTTCTGATTCCTCTGCTACCGCACTTAGGATTGAGTTTTACTAAGAGAAAAAACTAGAAATAGGGGGTCTGACTTAAAGGAAGAAATGTAGTCACCGTGTGCTCTTCTCACTTTAAGCTCATTCTCCGATAATGAAAGAAAGAAGATGTGCTGTGCCATCATGTGCCAGTATCAAGAAAGAGAGGAACATTACTTATAGGAGTTCAGAGCTGCAATCTGACTATCAATATTAATTACGGGTTTTGGACTCCTCTTTAATCAAGTCAGCTTCACTGGTTAAATTGACTGTTTTTATTAATTTACACTTAGTTTTCAGTTAACACAAGAACATAGAGATAACATCACAATTGCACTGTTATAAAGTTAAAAGGCCTTTGTGTTTCATTACCAGGTAAAAATTTGGGGGCTAGTTGTCTCACAGAGGATGCTAAACAGCCACTGGCCCTTTTATTTTGGTCTTATTAACAGAAATACTGCCTTAGTGAAATTATAAGCATAGGCCTCTTAATTAAGCTTCCTAGGAGTCTGAACTTTTACTTTCAATACCAAATAGTATCTGGAACACATGCTCACTTTTGTGTTTTTTTAGAAATTCTAAGAATTGGCCCAGATTCATGTGATAGTCATTCCTTAATCCATAGTCACCATGGGCCTCAAGGAGTAATTCTTCGAAAGAATGGAAAAGGCGCAGATCCTCTCCATTTCCTTCGGTTTCGACACTTTCAGCATGCTTACAGGAAATGTGTTTCCAGTTGGGATACCTAATTGTGTGCCAGAATTCCTCACAGTGCTCTTTGAAGCCCTCCACACAGATTATACCCGGCTTTCCTGTCATGCAAAATCCAGTCACGTCTAACCTTTTCCCGACATCCAAAATCTTTTTTCTTAGGTCCTGCTGATATATGTGGTGACTGTAGATCCACATTCGGAGGAATGTGTTCTTGACTGGCTTTGCTTGTGTAGATGGTTCGTAAACAAGCTTTCTGTTCAGGAAATAGGAGGCACTATTGTCCTGCAACCACTGGATTGCCGCACATACACAGAGCTCACCTGGATCAAAAGTCCCTATATAAGAAGTGAGACCTTTGTTGAGAAGTAGTTGCTGTTGTCTGTCAAGCTCAGACGACCGTCCAAATAGCTGCAATGCTGCATAGGGGTAGCTGTGAGGCATGGTTACTTGCAAATCAATTTTCACCTTAAAATGAAAATCAAATAGATTTAAGTACCATAAAATCTCCTAAGCTAGTTTATCAGTGGCAACAGCATGATTTTGATAAATATAAGTTATTGCTACTATTAAGTGTCAGCTATGGGCCAGAAACTGCACTGAGAATGTCACATACACTATTCCTTCCATGTATGCATTCATGCATTCCAGTATTTATTGAACACCCACCATGTGTCAGGGACCCCATGCTAGGATAAAGAAGTGAAGAAGCTAGATGCAATTTCTGCTATTCATGAAGACTAGAGCCCAGTGAAGGAGACAGACATTAAACTAATAATTACACATCACAAGTACTTAATTTCAATGGTGAGAAGAACAGGGATCCTGAAACGTGTAACCAGTGAGACAGAAGTCAGTCTGGGAACCAGGAGATCTTTGGTGAAGGAATGACAGCTGAAGGATGAGCAGGAAATCACTACAGGAGGGGTTCTCAAAAGCCTAGTCCACTTGTTACCTATGCTATGCTCATGTTGGTGGAGACAATGGATCAGAAGATGAAGGTAAATTCATTCATTCATTCTAAATACTAAAATACTAAATACTAAATTTAGATTTCCTGTCTGTATTTGCTTTGTGTCATGGTACTAACCAAAGAAACATTCATCCACTCAAGTCAGTTTTGCTAAAGGTAATACTTAGATTTATAAAAATTATAATACATGTACAAGACAGTACATACTACAAGAGTTGGAATGGTAAAAAACTGGTTGAGTGAACAGAATAATAATGGTAGTATGAGACTGCAAGATGTTTTTAATAAAAACCACTTTTTTAATAAAAACATATTTGTTAAAAAGATTGCATGTTTATGTAAAATTCAAGATATTTATTGAAGACAATTTACAGGGCATCCCATATTTTACATATTTCACTTTCAAACAAGTAAAGGATAGACGAATCTGGAATATTCTCTATTTGCTTCCTGGACAGAAATCTCACGTTCCAAGTGTTTCCACTAAAAACCGGGCACCCGGCAAAAATGAAAACAACTCAGGGTTCTTACCTTGGGCTCCTCAATCTGGAGGGTAATCACAAATTCGATTTTTGGCGGCAGCGCCTCCCTTGTGCCTTCCAAAAATCGCTTTATATTCGTCAGGACATTTACATCTTCAAGTTTTACTTCTCCTTGGTTAGGAAACATAGAAAACAGCATTTCCATCTCTAGCAGCTGAAGCTGCAGGCATTCTTTCATTGAAGAAGACATGTTGCCTCGAAATCCACCTGCCAGGAAAACTGGAAAGGCCCAGGGGCACTAGGTTTGTTAATTTCAGCGGTGTCCAGAGAAATTTCGCGAAGGTCCCTTTCCGTGGAAGCAGTTTTGCAGGAACGCTACGCACCGACAGCTAGGGGCACAAACCGGGACACTTACACTCTTTCTTCGCTTTATCAACCAACCCCCAAATTTAGTATACACAATATCCCTTAAGACACCTCGTTAAAATTCAGATTCCCATTCCGTTATCTCCCCACCCCCACCCCCGCTTCCGATTTAAATCCGGGAATCTGGACTTTCAACAGGTGTTCCAAATTATTCCGTTGTAGGTGGTTGGCAAACACCTGCAGATGCTCTGCAAGCCTGAATTCTAGGAAAGGCAAGGAGCCCAGCTTGCAATCCCACCAGGGTCTCGGGCTTGGGTGGAGCTGCGCCCTGTGGCGAGGGAGGCCCGCAGTCTGGCGAGGCGGTGGTCGCATCCCTTGGCTCCGGGGTCTTGGGGGCCCCGCCGCCCGCAACGCCAGTTGCGGCGCCTCGACCCCAGCGCCAAGGACCCCTTCCGAGCGGGCCTTTACGGCTCACCCGGGAGCCACATCACCCCGGGATGGCAACCTGATAGCTCCGGACGATTTGGGTCCATCTGGCCTGTGTGTCGAGGGGCCCAGGCTAACGGGGAGTCTTACAGGTACATTAATAAAATGATGTTTAGTGCGAGCTGGTGCGGAGAGATGGGGTGGGGGTAGCGGCTCGAGAAGGCTCCCGGAGTTAAAGTTTGGGGAGATGAACCTCGAGGATCTAGAAGGTGATGCGGGAAAGGGGAAATGGCCGAGTCCACCTTGTCAGAGGCCCCAAATCAGGGTTGGTACCCCCCATCTGGGATCACTAGGAACCCCGGCTTCCCAGGAACGCAAGACTGCCACCCTCTGAGACCCAAATTTGGAGGCGGGGACTGCGTTTTTGCAGGTCGCAGTGCTCTGATGGCCCACGACCCTCGGCCCCAACCCCCGGGCGACCGCGGGGGGCCTCACCCTTCCCGGTCATTCAAAGGAAACAGCCCCAAGCCCTCTCAGAACCGGGATCCGCAGTTCCGCAGGCGCGAGCTGCGCATGATCCGCAAGGAGGCGAGGCGGGGCCAGCGGATCCTCCCCCCTCCGTGATTGGCCGGGGGGCGTGGCGATGGGCCGGAAGTCACGCAGCGCCACGTCTGCGGGTTCGGAGAGCTTCAGTCAGGTAGGAGGAGCCGCCGCGGGCTAGCTGCTCTGTGAGGTGGGGGTGAGGGGTAATCTCCGGCGGAGGTGAGTGGGGCCCTTAGGCTTGGCGACGGGAATGGGACTCTCCAGTCCGTAGGGGTTCGGCCTACCGAAGGGCTGCGGGTAGGCTAGCGGGCAGGCTAGCGGGCAGGCTAGCGGACTGACCCACGGACCGCGCGCGGAACACACCCGCCCCTGCGCCTTCCGAGCGGGCCCGAGGGTCTCATGCTGGGTGTTCTGGTCCAGAGGCCTGGAGCGGGGGGTGGTGGCTCAGGGTTGAGAGCCGGGAAACGTGCAGCCATTTGGGGGCTGGAAGGAAAGCGGAACAAGCAAGCGGTTGATAATTGAATGGAGGGAAGGGGGATGCTCTCAATTCTTGTAGAGTGGTCACTGTTTGGGCTTGTAAGCTTTGAATAAAAGTGTTCGCGCCCTCATTGAACGTAGTTTTAGGACCGAAAACGCTTTGAAGGGTGGAAGCATTTTTTCTTTTTAAAAAAGATTTTCTGGATTTAACAGGACTGGTTTACGCCCTTATGAATAATCATGATATATTACCGAATGGTCAGTTTTTAACAAAGTGTATTCATGCTTGTGAAAGAGATTTGATCACTTTGGACCAAACTGAATTAGCTTGCTGAATACCAGTTTTTTCTAGCTGGACAAAAGCAAAATTTTTTCACCATTTCCTTTAACTTTTGTTCACTGAAGCAATGAAAGAAAATGAAGAAAACAAGATAGGACTGCTGCTCATCTCTGGGCTAACTGGGAATGGGACTGACCCAAGAATTGAATAAATAGTACATACAACTGAGGTTGGAAACCCCAAGTTCCACTTAAAATTGGAGTATCCCAGAGAAGGAAGTACTAGTGGGCTAGGGGCCAGTTAAAGGTAAAAAGAAGATGTTACTTTCAGAGCTTAATTTAGAAGGGTGTCCTGATCCTCCCTTATGAAAATAGAAAAATCCACTGCAAGAAACATTAGGAGGTCTGGGCAGTCTTGGAGAGGAGGCTGTTGTCCTTTGCTTTTCCTTTGGGTGTATGTCTCTGTGGTCTGGGAGGAATAACAAAAGAACCAACAGATTTCCCAGATATTTTGGATATGTAGTCCCAGTCCATTTGACAGTATGACCTTAGGCCCCAGTCTGTCACCAGGTACCCATGTAAATTTAGGTTATTTAACCGAGGCCCAAGCTTAAGTTTTTCCATTTGTGAAATGAGGTAATCTTTGATTGTGTAGGAGTCTGTGAATCTATGTGTGGAATCTTCATTTTAGTTGAGAGTGGACCATTTTAAGTTCACCCTGTGTCCAGGAATAGCCCTGGAGCCAAAATGAGAGATGAGTTGGGGTAATCTGCCATCTGCCCTGGAGGGGATGATGCAAATTGGGCAGGATCTTGTAGGTAATGCCTACCACCAGGACTTACTGTACCATTCTTTTTTTTTTTTTTTTAAAGATTTTATTTATGTATTTGACAGAGAGAGACACAGTGAGAGAGGGAACACAAGCAGGGAGAGTGGGAGAGGGAGAAGCAGGCTTCCTGCTGAGCAGGAGCCCCATGCAGGGCTCGATGGGGGGCTCAATCCCAGGACCCTGGGATCATGACCTGAGCCAAAGGCAGACGCTTAACGACTGAGCCACCCAGGCGCCCCTGTACCATTCTTTTCTTTCTCAAACATTCTTTGTTGGGGTTCAGAACGAGGCAGACCTGTTAGTTTAAGGTGGCAGTTTTTGAAGCAAGTGGCCCTTGAAAGATTTCTTATGCTTGAAAAATATTCCTTAATTTTGTAGACATGGATTTAGATGCTATTAGAGAATACTCAGCATTACATGCCAAACCCAGTGGACTCGTTCTTCAATATGGGACCGCTGGCTTTCGAACGAAAGCAGAACATCTTGATCATGTCATGTTTCGCATGGGATTATTAGCTGTCCTGAGGTCAAAACAGACAAAGTCTACAATAGGAGTCATGGTAACGGCATCACATAATCCTGAGGTAATGCCTTTAGTGCTCTTATAAAGCAAACCTTTATTTACAATAACACATCTTAGTGTCTGAGCAGTTTGACCCCAAGTACAAATTCTAATTCTAGGAATGTGCCTACTCGGTATGTGCCTTTGGATTTGAAATGGCTTTTTCTTAAAGATTAATTTATTTTAGAGAGAGAGATAGTGCATGCGAGGGAAGGGGCAGAGGGAGAGGGAGAATTCCAAGCAGACTGATCACTGAATGTGGAGCCAGACACCAGGCTGGATCCCACAAGCCTGAGACTACACACAACCGGAGCTGAAATCAAGAGTCAGACGCTTAACCGACTGAGCCACCCAGGCGCCCCTGAAATGGCTTTTTCTTGATGAGTGTTCATTTAGCTCATGACTGTAGAGGGTGTGGAGAGAATGAAATTGAGAGTCATTTCTTGGACTATGTCCATATTAGAGAAATAACAGAATGTCCTTCCAAGTTAGTTGTATTGAGACAGTATAAGTAACAAAAAGTATTACTTATGTTAATTTGGTAGAGATTAGAGAGATTGGAGCCAAGGTGGGGAGAAGGGCAAACATTTGAAAAGATTTAGTGCATTTTGAAAATTTTTTAGACTGGTTTTCTTTTCTTTTTTCTTTTAACGATTTTATTCATTTGAGAGAGAGAGAGAGCACATGAGCGAGAGACCACAAGCAGGGGGAGCAGCAGAGGGAGAGGGAGAAGCAGACTCCCCACTGAGCAGGGAGCCCGATGTGGGGCTTGATCTCAGGACCCTGAGATCGTGACTTGAGCCGAAGGCAGCCACTTGACTGAACCACCCAGGCACCCCAGACCCGTTTTCTGTAGTTAGGGAATATTAGGGAAGAGTTTCCTGTTCTGAATGAACAGCCAAACAGGTGGCTCCACGTAAACAAAAGTGAGCTTTGGGCAGATTATTGATGAGGCCTGATGATTCTAGTGTTATGAGAATTACTTTTTTTTTTTAAGATATATTTATTTATTTTAGAGCGAGAGAGTGTGTGAGCCAGGGAGAGGCAGAGAGAGAGGGAGAGAGAGACTCTCAGGCAGACTCCCAGCTGAGCGCAGGGCCTGATGTGGGGCTTGATCCTGATCCCATGACCCTGAGATCATAACCTGAGCCGAAACCAAGAGTTGGACCCTCAACCAACTGGGCCACCCAGGTGCCCCCCAATTTTTTTAGCAAAGTATTCTTTTTGACATAGTTTAACTGTTTTATTATGTATTGCCTGTAGCTCACTAATATGTGGTTTGAATAACATGCCTCTGTTTGATTGTAAGAGCATGAGACTTTTGCCTTTGTAGCTAAATCAGCAGCAAGTTAAAGCTATGTAGGTCTGTGAAGGATTATAACCTCCTCTTCCCCCCACACAAGAGGACATTGCTTGTCCAGCTTGTAAATGTGGATCATTATAAATGTGTAAGTGTCTGAATGTCTAAATCACCACAGTTAATGACTTGTGGGCTGAAGCCTATATTTATTGCTAGGTCTAGAATTACTTCTTAAAACAATACTGAACTGTTTCCTTCAGTTGACATTCACTCTGAACTACACTTTATTTCTTCCCCAAAATTTGAGCAGAACAGAATTGGGAGTCAGTTTTCAGCTTTTGTCACCTACTGGTCGATATATTGGCCAGTATGTTCTTAAAAGAGTCCAGTGTCATAGTGAGGAGGATCTCTCGGTGCCTTCATTCTACTCCATTTGTGCCCTGGTCATGTAATTGTTGGTGAATGCACAGATGACAGCCTTTTTAAAAAACTAGTGTAGCATAGTGGCTGGTGGGTTTAAGAGTCATGTAGACTTGATATTTTAATAGCAGCACTGATACTGTATGAACATAAGCAGATTACTTGCTCTGAATCTGTTTTTTTTTTTTTCCAAAGTAAGATTGGAGTAAGAATAGCATCATTAGTAGGATTGATGTTTGTTATGAGGATTTATATAAAACACCTAGTCCAGTGCCTGGCATTCCATACGGTCACAGGTAAAGCCACTCACCCATCAGTGTCTTTTTTAGGGGAAAACAGCTTGAGTTTACTTCCTCAACTCACCCTTGTGAATATGCACAGATGACTTACTGTTTGCTTTTTTTTTAAGGAAGACAATGGGGTAAAATTGGTTGATCCTTTGGGTGAAATGTTGGCACCATCCTGGGAGGAACATGCTACCTGTTTGGCAAATGCCGAGGAACACGAGATGCTGAGAGTGTTGATGGACATCAGTGTGAAAGCAGCTGTGAATCTGCACCAAGATGCCTTCGTAGTGATTGGTAGAGATACCAGGTGACCATCAGAGTTACTGGTGAAAGCAGCTTTGTGAACTGGACCTAAACGATTGCATTAGTTCTAGTACCCATGATAAATTGAAAGAATTAAGTGGAACTAAGAGGCTCCTCCACCTACCTGGCCTTTTTATTTTTAATAGGATGGAGGTGGTAATCCGCTCCTGCATCTTAGGGGTTTTGGAGTCTGAACCCCAACTCTAACACTGTATGACTGGGTAGGTTACTTAACCTTTGGAGCTTCCATATGCCCATCTATAAAATGTTGATGTTAAAGCCCAACTCAGGGCTTTTGTGAGGATTACATGAGATAATGTATGCAAAATACCTATTTCCTGACCTGAGAGAAGTACTTAACGTATGTCTCCCACCCCTTTACTTCTATAGATTTACTATTTTCTCCTATAAAGTAAGAACACGTGATTGTAATTCAATATTTATAGAGATTTACCTCATAATCTACATTATTGTTGGTTCATATATTTATATCATTTTCCCATGCTGGAGTTCACTGGAAAACATTAACAATATATTATTTCACATACAGTAGCTCCCCCTGCCCCTTATCTGCCGGGGATACATTCCAAGACCCCCAGTGGATGCCTGAAACCATAGATAGTACCGAACTCTATATACCATGTTTTTCTCTATACATACATAATTATGATAAAGATTAATTTTTAAAGATTTTATTTATTTATTTGAGAGAGAGAGCATGAATGGGGGGAGGAGCAGGGGGCAGGGAGAGACAGAAGCCCAGGCAGACTCTGTGCCCAGCGCTGAGCCTAAGGTGGGGCTTGATCTCAGGACCCCGAGATCATGACCTGAGCCAAAATCAAGAGTCCAGATGCTTAACATTGACTGAGCCACCCAGGTGCCCCTATGATAAAGATTAATATATAAGTTAAACACAGTAGGAGATCAACAATAAATAATAATAAAGTGGAACAATTGTAACAACATACTATAATAAAGTTACGTGAGTGTAGTCTCTCTCTCAAAATACCTTATTGTACTGTACTCCCTCTTGTCTTTCTTGTGATGATGTGAGATGATAAAATACCTGTGTGAGAGAGGATATGAGGTCAATGTAGGCATTGTGATGTAGTGTTAGGTTCCTGTTGACCTGACAGTATGTCAGAAGGTAACTGAAACCATGGCCAGTGAAACCGTGGACAAGAGAGGGCTACTTGTCATATTTGGCAGCTTTTGCCTTCCTTTACAAAAAGATATTATTGTAAAATGTTAGATTAAAAGTGTACTTTGAAACAGAAGCATTCTCTTTAAGATTTCATTTTAGAGATTCTTTCTAAAGGAAATTTCTAGTCATAGTCTTAATGATAGGACATTAGGACAATGTCTGGTGTTTTATCCTTAATGTGTTACCAGAGAGACTTCTAAATACCACTGATTGTGGATTTGTAAGTATCAGAAATAGCCTAGTGACTTATGTTCTGAAACAAATTATTATCCTACAGTAAAGCCATCCCACATGTAATTGCCTCTTACCGATTAACTAGTTTAAATGATATAGAACATCATTTTCTACAAGGCAGTTATAATGATCTACTTTATTTTCAGATAGATAATTTGTTCTGACTTTTTCAAATGAAAAATAGGTTCTGTATCCTTGGTAGTTTAATACCCAGTACTGCATTATGCAAAGTGTTTGCATTCAGTATTTATTGCTACTATTTTTAGGTGTTGTATATGGTGTTACAGTCAAACTTGAAAAGGTTTTTGGGTATGGTGTAGTTAGTGTATTTTTATATTTGTTTTCTAAATTCATTTAAAAGCCAAACTCTTTCCAGGAAATGTATTGTGAAAGGCTGCTGGAAAATGCTTATACTCTATACCTCTATTATCTCTGCAGTTTTCAGACTTTACAGGTTTCAGTTCAAATACAGTGAACCTATTATCCTGAAATTTGTAGCATTTGCTTTCAGAACTAGCAACTCTTGGTTTCAGAATGGGATGTGTTATTTTCTTCCTTTTCTTTTCTAGGCCCAGCAGCGAGAAACTTTCACAGTCTGTAATAGATGGTGTGACTGTTTTAGGAGGTCAATTCCATGGTATGTAGCTATCCTGAGTTGTAAATTAAACTTTAAAAAACTTAAAAAACTTTTAAGAAAGTTGTAAAAGTAGTACCATTTATTTTAGAAAAGTTTGAAAGTACAGATAAAATAACTTTTTTAAAAATGAACTTCCAGGTACGGGGGCACCTGGGTGGCTAAGCGTCAGACACTTGTTTTCAGCTCAGGCCAGGATCTCATGGGTCCTGGGATAGAGCCGTTTATTGGGTTCCACACTCAGTGAGGAGTCTGCTTAAAGATTCTCTTCCTTTGCCCTTCCCCCCATTTGCACGAGCATGCGCTCTCTCTACCTCTTTCTCTCTCATAAATAAATCTTTTTTTTTTTAAAGATTTTATTTATTTATTTGATAGAGAGGGAACGCAAGCAGGGGGAGTGGGAGAGGGAGAAGCCGGCTTCCCGCTGAGGAGGGAGCCCGATGAGGGGCTCGATCCCAGGATCCTGGGATCATGACCTGAGCCGAAGGCAGATGCTTAATGACTGAACCACCCAGGTGCCCCAAATAAATAAATCTTTAAAAAAATGAACTTCTAGGTATAAAATACTAGCTTTTTAAATTTAAAAAGTTAAAAATTTTTTCTGGGTGTGCATATTTTGTTTTAGCTATAGGAGATTATATATAAGAAATACTGATCTTAACTTTCTTTAGTAAGGCCAAATTTCCTGAAATAAAAACCTTTGATGTTAACTTGAAGGTGTTCATTCTGGGGAGCTTTTGTCAATATCATGTATTCCCAAATAGCTGATCACATGTGGAATCAGCTGTTACCTATCGAATAGTGGTGGAAAATATCTTTGGCCTGCTTATAATCTGATTTTAAGTTTTGACAGGTAGTTTTTCCTATTTTAGCAAATGAAGAACTACATGCAGGAAAATGGAGACTAGAATCCTGCTCTCACATCAGTCATGCCCCTTGTGAATGCAGTGACTCCATTTTGCTTGGAGGTGAATTTCCCTAGTATCTCCCTAGTTTCTCATTTTAAAGACTTCTTTAACCTCCTTTCCAGCTCCTCTGTGCTCTGCTCGTCCTTCAGAGTTAATTTGGCCTGTTCCAGGAGCTTACTTCTCTGCTCTTCAACTCATTACTTAGCCCACTGCAGGCAAAGTCTCCGTCCTTGCCCCTTCAGTGAAGTGTCTCTCTCAACACTCACCTGAATTCTAATTGCCAAATCCAGTGGCTATTATAAAGTGGGGATTCTTAGCCTGGGGCCCAGGGCTCCCTGGGAAATGTGTGGTTAAGCTGCAGGGACCTGGTTGATCTCTTGATAACAGTGTGCAGAGTGTTACCAACCAGCACACGCACTTTTCTCGGGAGAGGAGTTACTGCTTTCGTCAGATACTCAGAGGGATCTGTGACCTAAAAATAACTTTCAGAATTTATATTTTGAAGTTTTTATTTCAGTTGCTGTCTTGATAGCTCTTCACACTGTGACCTCTTCCTTTCTTTCTTGCAGCTTCGACTTTCTTGGCCACTATTTCTTATCGGTCTTTGTGGGTTCACTCTCTTCATATGGGTGTTCCTTATTTCTCTCTTTCATTCTGCTTGATTTTTGAATGATCATCTTTACTGCCAAAGCTCCAGCTATGTATAGTTTAATTTTTTATTAGTTCATCAAACTTTTTTTTTTTTGAAAGATTTTATTTATGTATTTGACAGAGAAAGACACAGCGAGAGAGGGAACACAAGCAGGGGGAGTGGGAGAGGGAGAAGCAGGCTTCCCGCCGAGCAGGGAGCCCGATGTAGGGCTCGATCCCAGCACCCTGGGATCATGACCTGAGCCGAAGGCAGACGCTTAACGACTGAGCCACCCAGGCGCCCCCATCAAACATTTTGACTGCCTGCTGTATACAACCCTCCAGGGAGTCTATTTCATGCCGCTCACAAATTAAAGTAAGGAACCCATTTTGTATCATGATGTGTGTATATGTACCTGTGTGTGTAACTGACACAAAAGTATCAGTAAATAATACCCACACTGCACAACGTGCATTCATCTGTGTTATTTAAAAAAAAAAAAATGCAGAGATGCTGGTTGTGTCTTACTAAGTGGATTCCATGATCCCTGATGGGCTCAGGTCTGCAATTTGTAAAGCACTAGGCTAAGTGAGGTCTCCACTTAGGTGGTCTGCCCTTACTCCAGCTTCACCTGGTGTAACAGTGTTGTTTATACTGTCCTCAGAATGCTTCACCTTTTGCACTGTCATTCTAGCTCTAGAACCATCACTGTTCTAATGTTTTAATCTAGAAAAACGTGAGAGTAATTTTTTTTTTTTTTGGACCTTTCCGTCATTTCTCTCTTCAGCTTAGTGTTCTTGAGGAAATGAAAGGTTAATGTAGCCACAGCATAGGGAGAATGGGGGAAGCTAGTAGATAAGGTCAGGGAAGTAAGCACAAGTCATAACATCCCAACGTTGTAGTAAAGATTACTTACTTGAGTAAGTCTTTTGGAATATTGTTTTCCTCTCCTTATACACCTCCATCGAACTAGGTTAAGTGCTGATCCACTTTGAACTCCTCCCTCTCCTTCTTTCCGAATCTTGTATCAGAGCCGTGGTTGCCTTCATAAAATACCATTTCCATTGTATACCTGCGGGGCTCAGTAGCTTAAATGACTTTTTGTCTCTAGTCCTAACTCATGTGCTTGACTTTGAAGACCTCTGATGGATTTAGTTACAGAATATTTATTGGATATTGGTCATCTCTGCTATTTCTCCTGTTTCTTGCTCTTGCTTTTGGTGCTTTTCTTGTGTGGTTTGCTATTTTTGACTATAAGCAGTTTGTTTTTCTTGGGAAATTATTTGTGGGACATTTTTGAGGTTTACGGTGAAGGCCTATTTCTGTGGCAAAGTTTGGTTATTGCTTTTGCTGGGTGCCTGGGGGTGCTACCTGACGGGTGGATGACAAGTTTCTTGATGGGAGTTCTTGGTTATGTGATTTGGGCCAGAAATCCAGGCGAGGCCTGTGCTTCTGGTGACAGCTCTTCAGGGATGGGTTATCTCCTGCTCTTCTTGATGTCAAGACAAATCTCCTAGGAGTGGGCACTTGGAGCTCATTCACTTCTGACTCAGCCTTGCACTGAAGAATAGTTCTTTGAGGCTTCAGCTTCATGAGGGGCTGGTCTTCTACTGGGTTTCCTTCCCATCTTAAGTCAGCAAGGATTTTTTTTGCACCAAAAGTGGTAGGTTAATTTCTGCTTTAGAGGAATGCCCTCAAAGCCACACTGGCTTCCCAGAGCTCAAATTTTGGAATTCTGTCTTCACAGAGGTTTTGGCCTTAGTCCTCTGTAACTTGTTGGCACAGCGATGCTTTTTTAAAAGAGATTTTTCTTTTATCTAGCATTTTTAGTTGTTTTCAGGAGTACGGTGCATCTGAATTAAATAGTTGCAGTGTTGTTGGAAATAGAACTCAGTTATTTTTCTATATTCTCTTTTTATGTTACCTATCCATATTAAATGTGTGTTTTTTTCTAACACTACCAAACAATTAACTTAATTCTCTGACATTATCTACCTAGAGGTAGGGTCAGATCCCACAGGTAAAGGGCTCAGTGCCATGTCTCCTCCCCTTCCCCCATTTCAGAATCCAGTCACCTGAGCTTCTGACGACCTCCTCCTTGGTTTGAGTAGTGTGCTAAAGGGCTCACAGAACTCAGAAACATTTTACTTCCAGATTACTGGTTTATGATAAAGGATAAAACTCAGGAGCAGCCAGCTGGAAGAGCTGCACAGGGCAAGGTATGTGGGAAGGGGCATGGAGCTCCCGTGCTCTCTGTCTGGGCAGCCACTCCCCCCAGTCTGCACACGTTTATCAACGCAAACCCCATCCTTTTGGGTTTTTATGGAGGCTTCATTACATAGGCACGATCAATTAAGTGATTGGCCATTGCTATTTGAACACAATCTCTAGTCCTTTTCTCTCCCTGGAGTGGCAGGGGGCCCAGGAATAAGGGAGAGGTCTGAAAAGTTTCAACTCTTTAATCACATGGTTGGTTTCCCTGGCAACCAACCTGGCCCTGTCTAGGAGCGGTCCTCGTCATCTCATTAGCATAACAAAAGACAATTCCTTGCTCTCATCGCTTAGAAATTCTAAAGGTTAGAAGCCCTGCCAGGAATGGAGACAGAGACCAAATCTCTATTTCTTATTATAAATCACAACATCATAATGTAACAGTTACTTGTAATGATTTCAGTGGATATTTATGCATATTTCTGAATAGTTTGGAAGTTAGCATTTTAGTTTTCTGAGATGTCTTTTTTTTAAGGAAGATCTGTCAAATTCATATGGTATCAATCCATTTAAACTTTTTTTTCTTTATTAAGAAATGTGACAAATTGCTTTTTGTATTTCTCTGACAGATTACGGCTTGTTAACAACACCCCAGCTACACTACATGGTGTACTGTCGAAATACCAGTGGCCAATATGGAAAGGCAACCATAGAAGGTTACTATGAGAAACTCTCTAAGGCCTTTATGGAGCTTACCAAACAGGTGAAAATCTCTTGAACATGGTTAGAGTTTAAGCAAATGAGTAACATCAGTTGAATAATTTATCTTAATTAGATAGTTTGTCACTCCTCCTTTTTTCCAAAAATGCAGTGTATTTCCTTTTTCTTTCTAGGGCACCACAAGGTTTGACCCTTGTATCTTGCTAAATATCTGTTGGCATTTACTTGGCAAGGCACGTAGTACATTCTGAGATAATTGGGAGAGAAAACATGGGGTTCTTGTGGTTTCATATTCATTCAGATGAATTTTCTCATAGGGTTAATGTTAGGTGCTATTGGCGTGATACTTGAAGTGTCTACTGCTGAGAAAGATTTTATCTCCTGGGTAGATTAGCTTCTTAAACCAGGTTGAGAAAGATTTGGGGGGGTATAATTAATTTGACCAACAGATACTGAATGCATGTTGTTAACCCAACAAAGCCCTTGTTCTCATAGAATTTATATTCTGAAGTGAGGATGGGCCAGGGAGGAGACTGACAAGGAAAAACCCAGATCTGCCCAGTGGTGTTACATGCTGTGAAGAGAATGACAGGTGTCATTCTGCTCATCCGTCTATATAATTATTCCCACATTTGAATGCCTGTCATGTAATATAGGCTATAGTATTATTTTGAAGGGACCCTGCTTAACTGAGGCTAAATTTTGACAAAGCTCCATTACCATAAGTTATTCCATCAGTGAAACTGTTCTAGTGTCAGTGTCCAAAAAAAAGTTTTTAAAGGTTTTTAAATTTTACTTTGGTTTTCTACAATTTTCACCTGAATGTGTGTACCCTTTTGTTTCCCAGGTTAAAATAGATGAGTTAACTGAAACAATGGAAGATGTTTACATATACCTATATTTGCCTTATGCTTCACTCTTTTATAACTTGAAATTTTTCTTCCATGTGTGTTTTCCTTTTAAGGCTTTCTGCAGTGGAGATGAATATAGATCACTTAAGGTTGACTGTGCCAACGGCATAGGGGCCCTGAAGCTGAGAGAAATGGAACACTACATTTCCCAGGGTCTGTCAGTTCAGCTGTTTAATGATGGAACCAAAGGGAAACTCAACCATTTATGTGGGGCTGACTTTGTGAAAAGTCATCAGAAGCCTCCACAGGGTATGTAGAAAATTTGTTTTTAGAGCTTTTGGAAACCAGTCTTATTTCCAGACAGAGTGGCCAAGTGAGTTGAGTCATGCAGCTAGTCCTGGCACTGCTGCTTGAGACATCTGGGCGTCTCCTTACTCGTCAGTGCCATTTAGAACGTGGTCTGCTCTCTGCCGTAAGTCACACGACTCCTACCGTGTGGGGGTGGGGGAAGGAAAATCAGAAGCTGGTGTTTAGAGCTGTGAATCTCGAACTGTAGCATGCATGAGAATCACCTGGGGGGCTTGTTAGCACAGATTCCTGGTCCTGCTCTAGAGTCTCTGATTCTGTAGGTCTCTGGGGTAGGATTTAGGTATGGTAAGGACTTGCATTTCTCAAGTACCCAGCCTTCCTTAATGGTGCTGGTCTCCTGGGACCACACTTTGAGAATCATTGATCTAAAGGACAGCAATAGTAAGTAGCATTTTTCACCTTATCTGAATTAGACACACTATGGAAAGGGAATGCAACTCTGCTTAATTATAATTGTCTGCAAAAATCACTGTTCTCCACAGTCGGTATATTAGAGGAAAACTTCTGTAGACTGTAGTTGTACTAAGAGGTGTTCTGTATTTAACTGCATTGCAGATACTAAATTGTTAGCGGGTGGGCCACGCTTGGCTTGCAGATGTGTTTTGTTTGGTCTGCTGTGTGTGTGTTTAATTGTCGCCATTTAAAAACTCCGTGATTTCACTTAAATATTAGAAACTCTGGCTTCTTTTTACCAAAATCAGAAAATGTCCATTCTCACATGGCAGTAATCAGCTGCCGTGGAGTGGCTCCTGCCCACTTCAGACAGAACTCCACAGACCTCATCCAGTCAGCTCTCTCATTTATATGGTCCTGCCTCACTGTAGTAAGCAGTTAAATTTTTAGTTGAATCAACCAGTTTGAACTTTTTATTGAATTGCTTGTTTCGACCTTTACTGACAGTTTGGTTCTGTCCATTCACTGAATGTGGAGCTCTTCCTCTCCTTTGCTCTAGGCACTGGTAAGGAGAACAAAGGCATGAGAAATGTAGCTAAAATTAATCTCTTTACAACTTGTAGCCCACTCATACCTGAGACATGCAGAGTGTGACATACCTCAAGGAACTTATGGCTGCTTTCATGTTGATGTTTATTAATAGAGACTAAAAGCAACCTTATCTTGACAATAACCAGACCTCCAAGGTCCTGTAAACCTCACTTTCAGCATGGAGAAATTCCTTAGAAACTTCCCTTCTCTCTAATCACTCCTCCTCGCAAACTTAAAAGTATATAATCAGTCACTCCTCACCATCACAGTGCAGCTCTTTCTGGTATGGATCCTGTCCCCTGCTATAATAGAAGCACATTTTTGGACTTTAAAATGCCTCAAGAATTCTTTCTTGACTCTTGCGCTGGCGGCCCCACATCACAGGCTACAATATGCACAAAAGCATAGGCCCTCTCACTTTCCTGAAGCTTGTGTTATGCCCTGTAGTCAACCTTATGTTCATATTCCTCACGGAAGTCTCATGTTGGATTTGTCCACCTGCTGCTGTCATGGCTAAGGAACAGCAGAATTTTCTAATAAGTTTGACATGACAGTTGCTGAGGTTTTGATAGCTTTATGCAAATTACACAAGCCATATTTCTCTCACAGTTTATAATTCTTTGCTCTTAGTTACCAATGTTTCTTGTTACTGATGGTGTGAACAAATAAAAATCATTTTTATTAGAATTAAAGCACATACCTCATCTATTGCTGATTATTATTATTTTTTTAAAGATTTCATTTATTTGAGAGGGAGAGTGACAGAGATAGCGAGAGAGATCACAAGCGGGGAGGAGAGGGAGAAGCAGGCTGCCGCTGAGCAGGAAGCCTGACGTGGGGTTCAATCCCAGGACCCTGGGACCATGGCCTGAGCTGAAGGCAGACACTTAACCAACTGAGCCACCCAGGCGCCCCTATTGCTGATTATTTTTTATATATAAAGGACGTCATAGTACTAGGTCAGTTGCATTCACAAATATCTGTAGCTTTGAAAAAACTATATGGGAACCTGTTTTGCCAAACCAACTGGCTTATAAAACAGAACTTTATTTTAATATTACATCAAGTTTCAGCATAGAATTCTTTTCCAGTTAGCTGTGAAAGAATTTACCCTGTAAAAACGACCAATAAACCTTTATACTATTTAAAGATTAAGACATTGGCTTTTATTTAGAAGGATAATTTTTTAAGTACCACAAGGCCAGTTATGATCATACTTTAGTGAAATATTTTTCCTTTGTAACCAATGTAAGAGAAAAAACTTTTATATGGAGGTTTATTCCCATTTCTATGACTGAAATGCATTTTAAAATTCTGTGTGCTAGGAATGGAAATGAAGTCTAATGAAAGATGCTGTTCCTTTGATGGAGATGCAGACAGAATTGTTTATTACTACCTTGATGTAGATGGTCACTTTCATCTCATAGATGGAGACAAGATAGCAACACTAATTAGCAGTTTCCTTAAAGAGCTCCTGTTGGAGGTATGGTGGGGTGATCGACTGCCCTTTAAAACAAGACTTACTGGTGACTAACAGGCATTTGAATGTCTCAGAGGCACTATTCTTACAGAGTTCCTTACCTTTGTGGCCAGAAAATACAAGAAGATACGGTAATTTTAGTCATTTCAACATGGGGCATTTGGAACCTGAAGGTAGTACTCTTTTCTTATACTGGCAGAGTTTGTGATTTGAAGCTTTGTGAAGTTTTGGTTTCTTCATAACTGACACTTTAATGAGAGTTCCCATTATCAGTCCCAAAGCCTCAAGTTTAAACAGAAAATCTCATCTTCTGAGAGCTATATTTACTGTGTTATAATATGCCTAATCATGTGAGAGAGGTTTATTCTGTTTTGCTTTTTTGGAAATCCTAGGCCAGCTTTACATATAGAACGTAATGAGAAGTAATTATTATAATATTGGGAAAGATATACTTTGAGAATTCAGTTAAATACTTTTTAATGCTCAAAAGTATTTTAGCTTTTTTTCTGGCATTCATGTAAATTTTCACTTTAGGCATTTATTGCATAAACTGAGACACAGCTGACCTAGGCGATGATTTTGTCATCCTTTAGAACTCTCATTATATGTTTGCTTTTGTAGTTAGTGTCATTACTTTTGATGGCCAGGCAATTATTATTTTTATCTAGATTGGAGAAAGTTTGAATATTGGTGTTGTGCAAACTGCGTATGCAAATGGAAGTTCAACACGGTATCTTGAAGAAGTTATGAAGGTATTGAACCATTTCAATTTTCTGGTAGCTTCTTAATATATTCTAAGATATTTCTGTGAGGAAAACAATGCCCTCATATAAGTGAATAGGTTGTAATACATGAAACTGAGCTGTTGTCCATTTAAGGGTAAGTAGAAATCAAACATAGGAAAAAAATATTGTCCCTGATGTGAAGAGAGATTCTCCCCCCTCCCTTTTTTTAGAGCATTTCTTTTAGAAAACTTATAAATTCTTTCTCTGCCTCCTTTATAGTGAATGTAAATCTTTTTAAAGGCTAAGCAAGTTTTATAGCTCGGGAATGTTTTCCATAAGGGTCTGGAGTCCCCTCATTGAAATGTAATCTTAAGGGAAGATAGCACCCCTGTCTCCCAGGCTCCTGAGAGTTTCCGTTAGTTAGAGCTTGGAACCAGCCACTTATCTACTTGTTATAGAGATATGAGAGGTTTTATTATTCTTTTGGTAAGGACTAAACACTGCCACCACAGTTATCAGGCACATTTAAGACAGTGTGTGACAAATGGTCCTGTGCAGTCTTCTTGAGAAGTGGGCCTATTCAGTAGGCATAGGGACTATTGCTTTGGGGTTTCACAGTGTGGGAGACAGACTGGGCTCAACTAATACAGCAAGGAAAAGTGGAGATTTTGGAGCCAAGGAGCAAAGGGGGAGGGGGTCATTAGATGGAAAATTACTGAGCAGTCATCAGGGGTCAGGGAGGATTCTGGCTAAATCTACCTGAACTCCTGAAGGCAGGCTGGGTGATTAGATATTACCTGGGGGATGGTACAGCGTGAGGACTTTGATCAGTTGTCGAAGGTAGGACATTCTTGCTGAGGTTGGACTCTGGGAGACGCGCCCACGGGATAGGACCTGTTCAGGCTCACAGGGCAAGTTTGGTCTGAGGTTGGAATCTGTTACTAGTTTTGTATCTTATTTTTTCCCCCAACATCCACCAGATGACTGACCATCCTCTATACTACATCACCTGCTCTAAGAGTGAGTTAGAGGGTCCATGGCCAAAATTAGATGTTTGTCTTTCTCTTTTTCTCACTAGCTAGTGTATTATTTTCCAACTTTTGTGTATCCTTTTTCAGACTGCTGCATTTTACTAGTTTTTGGTACCTTTTCATTCTTTTTTAAGCAAGAATGGCAAAGTCAAATTCTGGTATAATAGGTGAGGTAAGAACAGCAGGGGTATAAGGACTAGGAACAGTGCCCGCCAGGCCCACTGCTGTCTCCTTTAGTCAGATTCTTCAAGAGAAGCTGAAAATCTGAATTTTTATGTGAACCTCCTACTTTTTTAGTCTTGGCAATTGATGCGAAATTCCAAAGAGATAGGTAGGCAAAATAAAACACATCAGGAGGCTGCTAGTTTGTGACCTAAGTAGAAGGTTGCAGTAAACGCCCTCGGCACTCCATCTGGCCCAGTGGCCTGCTGTTCATGAGGATTATTCTCAGTACTTGAGTTATCGTTTTAGTATTTTCTCATGTTCTGTCTTAAAAAATTTTTATAGGTAAAATGCCCTGTTTAAGAAACTGAATGCACCAGAAACTGTTAATCATCAACCCATTCTCCTCTGGGTGGATGAAGTATTTTGAGCTCTAGCCTTTCCTGAGGTCTTTTAAATCCAGTCAAATGCTGATCTGACTTGATCTTGGTCTCCTCGGTAGTTCTGCTGCGATCAGTCTTAACCACTCTTCTCGTTCAGATCTCTCCAAGACTTGGGCCGCCCAGTGTTGCTAGTCTTACCACTCTAATTTCTTAATGGGATTAGTCCTAGAAACCTCCTAACCAATCTCTTTGACCCTTCTAAGCCAGGGGATGGCAGACAGGGGCCTGTGGACTAAATCCAGCCTGCCACGTGTTTATGGTTTTATTGGAATACAACCATGCTCATTTGTTGCCGTTATCATCTGTGGTTGCTTTTATACTAGTGGCAGAAGTGAGCCGTTGTGATATGATCTCTATCATATGGTCTGTACACCCTAAAATATTTATCATCTGGCCTTTTGTGGTAAAAGCTTGCAGACCCCTACTGTAAGCCACTCTCCACACTGTAGCTAATTGAGCTTTCTGCAGTTAGATCATATCACTCTCCCACTTGGAATCTTTCATTATCTTATCAGGGGACACACTCTCTCTCTCTTGCTTTTTCCTTGGCTGTGGGCTTCTCTACTGCCTTCTCTCCCGCATACTGATACCACTTTGTATTTTAATTGCTTGTCTTCCTCACTAGCTAGCTCCAGGAGGTTTGTTCCCTATTGTATCCTTGGGAGAGTAGGTACATAATATCTGCCCATTGAATAACTGCTGTTGTGTTTCTTTAAATATATGTTATAGGTGTCTGTCTATTGTACTAAAACTGGTGTAAAACATTTGCACCACAAGGCTCAAGAGTTTGACATTGGAGTTTATTTTGAAGCAAATGGGCATGGCACGGTAAGTTTTTTTAATCAGCTACAACCGGCTTTAGCTGGACGTTTTTTAATGATGGGAGTTCTGTATCTGGATGGCAATAGGTTATACCCCCCTTTGTTGAAATGATCAGTATGATGGTAGAATAAGATTATTTGGTTAACATACTATATTCTTATGTGTTGTGAAACTGGTTTTCTTTTAGATTGATAATGATCTTTGAGTATGAAGAGATGAGTCTTAGTTTCTTAAAAAAAAATATGCAGTTCTTTTTTTACAAGCAGATCATCTATATATTGTTTAAAATCTTTTCTTTGAACGGGCCACAGGTGGTACAAGGAAAGTTCAGTAGCTTTGGTGAATTGAAGTGTTGGAATGCCTGAGAATTAAGTTATGAACAACTAGAAATGAATGTAATTAGCAATAAGCATATAAAATTTTTAGGGGGCTTTCTGTAGGTAGAATGTTTAAAAAGTTTGAGATATAGTTCACATACCTTAAAATTCACTATTTTGAAGTGTATTATGTGGCTTTCAGTATATTCATAAGGTTTTTTTTTTTAAAACGTTTTTATATCTCACCTCATTTCATAAATGGATTGGAGGTGGCCAACAGAAAATGTTATCTAGGTCAGATTATTTTCCTCATTAATTCCGAGCTGGCTTCTAGAGGCCTTGAACGTAAGAAAAATAACTTCTTAGGAAATGCAGTTAAAATATAACTTCAGTAATCTAATTAATGCAGAGGTTGATAAATGATTTTAGAGGGCAGATAATAAATATTCTAGTCTTTGGGCCGTAAGGTCGCTGTTGCTGGTATAGGGTTGAGTGAGTGGGTGTGGCTGTGTTCCGGCAAAAACTGGCCAGTGTATTTTAGTTTACCAACAAACATCTATTTCATCAAGTGCTGACTGTAGTATTGAGCCTTGGAAGGCACTAAAATCATGGCCAAAGAATTTTAAAAATGACAGGAATCTTGAGGAACATGATATATATAATATCCATGGTACTGTTTGCCATAATGTGATAAATATGATGAACCGCTTTCTACTTTTACCTAGCTTATATCCTTTAAATTTTTAGGATAAGAAAACTGCACTACTTATGTTAAATTATATATTCTTCCAAGTAAAATGGACACAGGCTTAAAGAATCTGGTGGCACAGGACAGATGGAGCTGGCCGAGGGGCAGACATAATGAACTCATGTACTTTGCCTCTGCCAGGGTGGTACTTTCTTTGTAATCAGCTCTTTAAATTTTGATAACCAGTGTCATAATTTATAAATGAATCCCCCCTCCCCCTGTAATATCGTTTGGGTACTGATTCGATCTTGTTAATTTCATTCATTCGACGGCTGCTATTATTTTTCCCCTCAGTTTTTCCGGATTCATTTTGAGTTTCAAAAGTGGTTTAGCTAGGGTGCCTGGGGCATGGATAGTGGTTTGTGACTTTGTGTTTTATGCTTTCATTACAGGTACTGTTTAGTAAAGCTGCTGAAACAAAGATAAAACAACTAGCAAAAGAATTAGAAGATAAGAAAAGGGAAGCTGCTAAGATGCTTGAAAATGTTATTGACTTGTTTAACCAGGTCAGAGCTGGTGGGGTGGCAGGCTCTTGGTTACTTTTACATTATTCAGAAGGTAGAATAGTATGCTGGGGGAAAAGAGAGAGGGAGAAGCAGACTCCCAGGGAGCAGGGAGCCCGATCCCAGGACCCTGAGATCATGACCTGAGCCGAAGTCAGATGCTTAACTGACTGAGCCACCCAGGCACGCCTGAATAAGACATTAAAGTAGAAAAGTCCTGGCAGCTTCCTTGCCACAGTGGTATGTATATACAGTTGAGATTTACACTGAAATGCGGTGATAAAACATTGATGTGCTTCCTTCCCCCTACGTTTTATGATGAAAATTTTTAAGTATAATGAGTTGCTTGCACCTAGAGGCAAGATTCAGCTATTGAGTCTATATATATGTGTTGCATCGTTGAGATTGGAGTCTACAATATGGCAATGGAAGAGCAAGCAAAGAGTGGGACTAGGAAAAGCGATGGAACTAATATTTGAGTATCTTGCACATACGAGGCACTTGACATACCTCATTGTGTAATCCTTGTAATAACACAGGGAGGGGGTTATTATAATTCCCATTTCATAAATGAAGAAACAAAGAGCTCGGAGCTACTAAGTGAAGAGTATGGATCTAACTTCAGGTGTGTCTTATACCACTTTACCATGCATGATGCCTTCCATTGTCATGGTAATAAATATCTCAAAAGGGAGCTAGTTATAAAGGAAAATTTGAATCATAGAATGTTAATGCTGGAACCTTAAGAGTTATCCAGTCTAATTTATAATGAAGATTAGAGGCAAGTTTCTTAAGAGCTAGTTTCAGTGTTCTTTGTTTAACTCATTATGGTCTTCCATTCCCTTATTTCTCCATCCACTCCAGTTTAATAATCCCGTGTGGGGGCAGGGAGGAAGCACAGGATACTGTGATTGGTTTTCTAAGACAGAGCATTCTTATCCAAGCTTTGCTGGCATTAAAGTACTTTCTTCCATTGTGTCTCGTAGGCAGCTGGTGATGCTATTTCTGACATGCTGGTGATTGAGGCAATCTTGATTCTGAAGGGCCTGACTGTACAGCAGTGGGATGCTCTTTATACAGATCTCCCAAACAGACAGCTCAAAGTTAAGGTGGGAGCGAGATTTTAAAACTACTTCTTTTCTGAAAATTAAAATGTATTATTATCTCCAATCTCTATGTGAAAGTAGTTCCTTTGTGTCATAGTTCATTATGTACGTATATTGCACAGAAAATGCCTTATATCATCTGTGTTTTGTCACATCTTAAAAATTATGGCATAACCATTCAATTGTTTGAGAAGTATTCACTTTACAAACTTTAAAGAAAAGGTGATACATATTATTTATAATGAAGATTTTATTATGGAAAATTTAAAACACAGAAGTGTGGGGAGAACAAAACTCAGCTTCAACAGATTTCAGCTATTGTCCTTCACCATATCCCCCATGTTATTTTGAAGCAATCCTGATAGCCTATCATTTTGAGTGAAAATATTCCCTTTGCGTGATTCTTGGTTCATATAGTACTTTCCTGGGGCTAGATGCTGCAAAGTAGGAGATAATTTTTTTTTAAAGGCATTTCATAGAAATGTTAATTGATATCTATACGCCATTGTGCACATTTGTGAAAGATAATTAACAGGTAGTAAGGCCCAAGTTCACACAAATGGCTACTGATTGTTCAGATTAGTTTTTGGCATATTTAGGCAATTTTTATCATGACCCTCTTACATAACTGGTTGCCACTTTCCACTTTATAAAAATACTTAGGGTTATTTGATCAGTGACTTAAGGCCTACAGTACTTACTGGCTATTTTAGTGGTAACTATAAGACAGTGTGGAAATGGTATCTTTTTTGCTTGAGGTATTCTTTAGATATTGAAGAAAGAAGCTGTACAACTGAAATTAACCTTGATTTTGTCAGAAATAAAAATCGTAAAAATTTTTTTTAAAACATTTTATTAGAAGTGTGAGCTCGTGAGTGGGTGGAGGGAGAGAGAGAGAGAATCTCAAGCCAACTCCACACAGAGCATGATGCGGGGCTGGATCTCACAACCCTGAGATCATGACCTGAGCTGAGACCAAGAGTCACAGGCGCCCCATAAAATTTTAGTGCAGTTGTATTCTGTGCTTATTCTGGTACCTTACTGTCTGACGGTGTTGCACTTGGGGGTACAATAAGCTGAAATGTAGGTCTGTTACTATTGAAATGGCCACAGTCTTTCGGTAGGAATTACGTTGAAGAGGTCAGGCTTCTGAAAGGAAGTGTAATAGTGACAAATACAAAATGTTTTGCATAGGTTGCAGACAGGCAAGTCATTAGCACCACTGATGCTGAAAGACAAGTAGTTACACCTCCGGGACTACAGGAGGCCATCAATGACCTGGTGAAGAAGTACAAGCTTTCCCGAGCTTTTGTCCGGCCTTCTGGTACGGAAGATATAGTCCGAGTATATGCAGAAGCGGACTCGCAGGTAAGCTGGGGCAGTGCTATTGAAAAAATGTGCAGTGAGAGTCTGACAACATGGGTAGTGGGGTTGGTGGCAGGAGAGAAAAACTATTTTAATAGTGTTGCAGTCTCACTGATAATTAAGGGTTTAATGTCTGAGATTTGTTTATGCAGATTTTTAGGTTCTTATTAATACTACAAAATTATTTTCATCAGTAGTTGAACAAAATTAGATGCACTTAGTTTATTTCCCCAGATATTTTTCTTTTGATTTACTACAGACTTCCTGAAACTGCCCTATTTCTAGCTATGGTATGAATAACAAATAGAGACTTGGTTTGCCTTATGTGGCCTGAAGTGGATTATCCTTTTTTCCCCTCCTTTAAAAACATAATCCTGCTGCTTTATGAAAACAACCAGCTTTGCGGTCCATGTTTAAATTAACTGGTACCATCAGCCATGCTGATTGAAATTCATCTTTGTCTCTGGACTTTGTTTATTTGAGAGAGACAGACAGTGTGTACAAGTGGGCGGGGGGAGAGGAGCAGAGGGTGAAAGCCAAGCAGACTCCGCACGGAGCTGGATGTGGGGCTGGATCTCAGGACCCCAAGATCATGACCTGAGCGGAAACCAAGAGTCAGATGCTCAACTGATTGAGTCACCCAGGCACCCCTTTGTCTCTGGACTTTTGTTTTTTAAAGTAATTTCCTTTAGACAGCCTTGCCCTCTGCTGCTATTCTCCTGATAAGGTAAAGACCTCATGGTCTGGACTTTTAAAATTTGCCCTCTTCACACACCATCATCTTAAACCCTGATAACAGGCAGTCAGAAGGAGGCATTTTATAAGGGAGCTGGCAGCTTTTTGGCAGAAGCTTAGGCCATCCCAGAATATAGTGAATAAAAATCCCTGGTGGACGGGGAGAGGCCATCTGGGACCTGAACGGTTACTTACTCTTAGGCCAGTTGTGGCCTTGCTTTTAAGGAGTAGGTTTTATTGAATTATTCAGAGTTTGGGAATAATCAAATTAGATTGTAAAATCAGTTAAGGACTCACCTGCCTTAAATAAATGGAAAACTCAAATTCTTCTCAGAGTCTTGGAATTTGTTACTGAAAGATTGAAAAAAAGAAAATTTTTCATTTGATATGTTGAAACAAAAGAAGCTCCTTCCCCTTCCCTCAGAGTTGATGCTAGTTCTCATCTAATCTCCTTTCATGTAATTTGCAGGAAAATGCGGATAGCCTTGCTCATGCAGTGAGCTTGGCAGTATTTCAGCTGGCTGGAGGAGTTGGAGAAACACCCCAACCAGGTTTCTGAAGACAATTTTTTATGTTCATGAGAAACTGGGTTTTTAAAAAGTTTTTTACAAAATAGTACTGCCATTATGGTGACAGGTTCAAACACATTTGTAATCAAAATGTTTACAGTGCATCTTACTAGACTGCTTCTAGAACAGATTGTTTTTCTTAAACACTACCATAAGTAATTGTTTAGAAGTAGGTAAGCCTTATACTTGTTAAATTTAGTTTTTAAAAAGCAAAACTTACCGAATTTCAGTCTCACTAATGTAAAGTACCTGGGCTTCACTATGTGATTCAGTCATTAACTTTCTAATACATGCAGGGAAAATTCATGAGGGCTGCTGGAAAAGTAAACCTTATTATCAGCTCCTTGGAGTGTCTTTTTCCATCGCCGTTACCTAGCCACACTTGCTGTTTTACAGGATTCACCATTGTTGATACGGATGGGGAGGGTGGAGAAGACTTTTATACAAACAATTTTTAGAATGATTCTTAAATGACTTACCTCTTCAAGGAACATCACCAGGAATTCAGAGGTGTGAGATGGAGACTGTGCATCTCTACTCTGTACGGAGGTTGAAATGCTCATGCTACATTTAGGAGGATGCATGGCCCAGGCTCCAGTTATTCTTTACTCCTCTTAGTGAAGGCATGCGGGAGAAAACTAATGGTCATACCTTACCATGCCTCCGACAGAAAAGTGACGCCATTCTGATACTAGAATGTGGTAATAGAAAGAAGATCCCAACAAATCTAAATTAAACAAAGCCTGAAACCAATAGCAAAAAATGTGCAGTGTGTATTTTGCAGGTTTAAGACAATTCAGGACAGTAAAACAATGGACTATAGATGTATATATAGATCTCTCTCAGGCACCATAATCAATATGAGCCAACAATATTTAAACTTGATTCAGGCCACATTCAGACATTTGCTCTTATTTACAAATATTTAAATTAAATACAACCTGAAATGTGTTTTGTTACATACAAAAAAGAAAAAAAGAAACTATACAACTCGGAGCAATGTTTGTTTTAAATAATTACATTTACATCTAGTTAAATGGAACCACTTGTAATGCCTCAAGTTTTTATCACCCCTTCCAGAAAATCTTTTTCTACCATCTCTTCTATTTTTTGCCTGGCTTTGCTGGAAAATGGTTTGTGGTTTTCCAGTTTCATGTCCTTGTTAGGGAAGGTGTTTGAGTAGAGGATGGGGCTCCCTGAGTGTCCTGCACATCGGCTGGTGACTTTGCTGTTGAAGACTTGGCTGAGCACATTGAAGAACGGCAGGAGCTGCTCGATACTGCGCACGGCGCAGATGGTGAGCAGCAAGTGCCCCGGCTCCCAACCCAACGTTCTCCCTGAGTTGTCTTCCTCCGGATTCTTCTGTAGAAAACACAAGGAGATTGTTATACAGATGAATACAGTCCATGAGAACATTTCAAAGGGTATAAACATCAGCAACAGTTAACAAATACAAATGATGACAGTAAGTCTCCATTCCAGACTTGATTAAACTCCTGCTTCTAACTGAAGCCTCTTCATGCCAGTTACGAAGTGTGGGTAGATGGGTCCAATGCCGTAGTCATGTTTTCCAACTGGAGTGCGTAAGTACGCTCATTAGCAGAATTGGTTTTGGAGAGGGAGAGTCAAATATTAACAGTTTATGTTGTGCTTTGCATATACTCAAAAAGCTCCCAGATTTCTGGACTCCCGCTAAGGTGACCCAGGACAAGTGACCACAGAAGAAGGTTAAGAAGAGACCGCAGTCTTCTCCACGTCACCACTAGTAAATCAGGTAGTTCCCTTCTAGCCAAATGGCTTAAACTTGCCACAACATGGTAGCAGGCTTCCAAGTGAATAACTCAGTACGAGAGAAAGGAAAGGAGCACTCAGGAGAGACCCTGCCATCTGCTTCTTGTGTTAAACAACATAGGGAGGAAAGCTGGACCTGGGGTCGAAATAACAGGGTGGGTGTCACGGCTCTATTTACTCACTGGGGGACATCCTTGGGCAAGATACAGAAAGGTTCCTCATTTTAAAAAAGTGGGGAAACAATCTATTTTCCAGCAGAGAAGTCAAACGAGAATGTAGGTGAAAACTGTCAACTAAATGTAAATGCAATTAAAATAATTTGTGTACCAAGAGGCTGGTTTCAAAGGCCAACTAGACTATACAAAGATGTAGACATCAGTCTATCTAAGGAAAGTTACAAGAGAACTGGAGATGTCTGAGTTTGGGCAGAATCACAGATATAAAAACAGAGTGGAGAGAATGAAAACAGACATGGACTGGATAGAAAATGGGAAAAAAAAATCATCAAGGGGGACTTAAAAAGCAGAACTACTACAGTCTGTCCTACTGGTTAACAAATGGAGTTTGCCTTCTCAGATCAGATGTTTCTTTCACTAAGTTTTAGTAACACTAGTTTCCTAGTGGAGAAAGCAGATGCAAAATCCAGCTTATCATGTGTGATCACAAGCTTTGTTTGCTTATTTAAAAATGAAATCCTGAGAAAGGAAAATAGATTGAAGTTAAAATAGCAAACAAAAAAAGATCATCCAGTTCTTTAGAGCCAGAAAAAAAGAAAAAAAACCCAGCAATTCTTTAACCTCCAATCTAAAATACAGGCTTTAGAAAACCTCTTCCTTTTGCTTAACTAGAACACTGGCTTTAATGACAGTCCCGGGACCGACTTTCCCATCACTGGCTACCGTTCGGTTGGCTGACCATACCACCTTTCCAGTCCCCGAAATTAAACTGCAATCCAATAGTAATTCAAGAGTAAACATGAATTTATCCTGAGGGAAAAGGCATAATATGCTTGAACCCTCCATACAACTAGTTTACAAATGTAACTGAGGTGTAATCTTTTGTTTATATTCTTGCCAAGATGTACCTGTAAGAGAGGGACTTTTACTACTAAGCTCTTGACCGATAAAGAGTGCCCCTGTTTTGGTGTTCTGCTCTTCATCAGAACTATAACACCTCCTCAATAATAAAATTAAAAACTCAGACATGTTTCCATAAAAATGATTTCTCCTTTCACTTCACCAGTCTACACTTGAAGACAGACTTCCTTCCTGTTTACCTCTCTTGTACTTGTTGAGATCCAGACCTGGGTTTGTGTCTCAATATTTGGTCCAGATGTGGCAACTTTTGCTGCCACATCACAAGCATCAAAAAGCCACCCTCACCTGATGCTTGGCCATCTCCAATCCCTCCAAAATCACTGTCTTAAAGTCCTCCTCCTTGTCCTGTGGAAGGAAAGAGGAGAACTCATAGCCTTTGTTCCAATTACAAATGTATGTTTGGCCATGAAGACCTTGTTTAAAGTGTAGAAAATGCTTTCTAATCAAAACTGTTTTCTTATTCTGGGGGACACGTTTTTGGCAAAAGGCTGTCTTGTTTATCCCTTAGGTCCAGAGAGGGGTCTTATAAAAATGGTCAATACTAATGAGATGTAGGGATGACAGAAAGTGCACGGCTTCTGGATTTATCATCACAATTATTTTTTCAAACCCTGTAATATCAAAGTGAGAAGTACCCAAGTCCTATCCCTAAACTCTGGATCCAACTTTCATCTTCATCTCTGCCCTTTTACTTAGTTCCTGAAGAATTTTAAAATCAAGTTCCTCAGATCCTTCAAGCACAACCTCCTCTTTAATCACTTTCCTCCATCCCATTGTTTGCAGAATGTGGGTTAGTTTTAGGGGTGGCTGCCTGATTAGGGGACCCAGAAGACTGGAAAATTTCTGAGCACTCAAAGCACATACTGCAAACCCCAAAAGCACATCCCCAAACTTTACATTTTTGAAAAAAATAAAAAAATTTAAAGATTTTGTCTTGTTTTATTTGTTTTGTAAGTAATCTCTACACCCAACATGGCTCTCAAACTCATGACCCAAGATCAAGGCTTGGATGCTCAACTGAGTCAGCCAGGTATCCCTGAAAATTTTTTAATTAAAAAAAAAAAGACAAAAGATTTGGAACAAAGGCTCACTGATGAGCATGCCAAATTCATTTTCTGGGGCAAAGATCTCTAGCCT